ACACGTGAAATAAGCATTAATGAGTTTAGTTCAGCCGCTGAACTCTACTTGAATGTTGAACAGTTTGATTCAGTGAACATGAATTCAGAGCTCATACTGGCTGCTGATGTCACTTCCTGTGTGTGTGTGTGTGTGTGTGTGTTTCATTCCTCACTGGATGAGTGTGTTTAATGTGTGTTCTGTGATCCCAAATGAACCTATTAAGACTGTAAATACTGCAGAATTACCTTTTATAAACTCTTAAAGGTCTCCATATTTGATCAGTTCAGATATTCGGTCGGATAAAAGTCATGGAAATATAATTTATTTAAATGTGTTGGTCATAAATGAGTTATTATTTCACTTCCTGCGAGACTCTGAATATAATTCAGCTTCCTCTTTGATCTGATAACTGTGATCTGCTGTGATTGGTGGATGTCTGCTCATGCCGCTCTCTCATTGGTCCAGACCGTAGAGTTTGATGAAGGGGCGGGAGCAGTGCTGCGTATCCAGCCACTCAGAGCGCCGCGGGACGAAAATGTTTACGAATGTGTCGCCAAAAACACTGAAGGTGAAGTCGCTGTGACCTCCAAACTGTCCATCATCAGAGGTGAGATATACTATCATCATAATCGTTATAAACTCACACCACTCATAATTTCCTCCAAATGTACTGTATATTGCAGTCACACTGCAGACAATAGTGTTCTTCCTTTGTGTGTTTGTGTTGTTTTGCAGTACAAACATCTAAACATTCTTAAGTGAAGATACATTACCTGGAGATGCAAAACGGCTTAAAATATTAAGTATTGTTTTCTGAAAAATGTATTAAAATTAAGCGAGTTTATGCTTAAGACAAGAACAAATATCTGCCAGTGGAGTCAGAAAAACAATCTTGTTTTTATTTTAAATTAAGTTGATTTTTCTGACACCTTAAACGCTCTTCATTTTAAAACAACACATTTTGCTTCTCCAGTAAATGCATCTTGATTTAAGAATGTTTTCTGGAAAGTACTAAGTCAGAAAATCTTTTTTTGCAGTGAGATATTTCTGTGATTATTGTCATGTCTCTTTGCACTCATCTGCTGTGTAATAATGTTGATTTTAAAACGTCTGATTCTTCACAAGTACATGTGTTTAACATGTTTCGGAAAAGTGAACAGATGTAGCTGACTCGAGCGGAAGAGACGGCGTTGGTCTTTGTGTTGGTGCTTCATTGGCTGCTGCTGGGCTTGTTTTGATTGGCTGGCCGCGTCACAAAGGCCCCGGGGCCCTGCAAATGCTGTCTGTAATCGAGACAATAGCGAGACGCTTGGCTCACGGCCGCATTCACAACACCATCAGCTCAACGCTTGTGTCATTCGTCAAGAACTGGCTGTCAGACGCGAGAGAATCCTCCAGAAACACGGCTTTGGTTCCCGATTCCTGCTCGCAGTGTCAGCCCATTACAGTTTATTTCAGCTGCTTACACACAGAATCTTTACTCGTCACACAGTTTCTGAAAGCTGACACTCAAACAGCAGAAGCACACACCAAATCTGCAAAACCATACATTAATTCTCAGACTTTGACTCAGTTTTCAATTTCATTTTGCAAAACACAGCACATAGTTCTCTATGTAACACACACAAATCTAACAGGAATTAATATTATGGCAAAGGTGTTTGCAAATGTTTGCTTTTGAGATGTGTTTGTGATTTTTTCGTTTTGCAAGAGATGCGAGGCATAGGTGTTTGCAAATGTTTGCTTTTGAGATGTGTTTGTGATTTTTTTCGTTTTGCAAGAGATGCGAGGCATTTTGCATTTTCTGTGCAATTCTTGGATTTGTGTGTAAAGTTTTGGAAAAAAAGAGGCAACGTTTTGAAAATGTGTGTAAGCAGCTGAAAAAACTAAACTATAATTCCTGTTAGATTTTTGTGTGTTGCATAGAGATGTGTGTTGTGTTTTGCAAAAAGTGTTTTATGAAATTGAAAACCGAGTCAAAGGCTGAGTATTAGTGTATGGTTTTGTAGATTTGGTGTGTGCTTCTGCTGTTTGAGTGTCAGCTTTCAGAAACTGAGTAAAGATTTTGTGTGTAAGCAGCTGAAAAAACTGTAACAGAGAATGGCAGTGGATTCTGATGCTGAAGGCGAGCGCGTCACGTGTCGTGAACGAACGCCTGTGAATGTATATTCATGCCGCGCGCCGCTGATAAGAGCGGTAATTAATTAGTTAGTGTGGTAATGAAGCGAGTTGCATTGGCAGTCACAGTTTATTTAGTGAGCGGCGCCGGCAAACGCAGCGCCACTGTCACACACACATGGTTTGGTGTATGGTTTTGTAGATTTGGTGTGTGCTTCTGCTGTTTGAGTGTCAGCTTTCAGAAACTGAGTAAAGATTTTGTGTGTAAGCAGCTGAAAAAACTGTAACAGAGAATGGCAGTGGATTCTGATGCTGAAGGCGAGCGCGTCACGTGTCGTGAACGAACGCCTGTGAATGTATATTCATGCCGCGCGCCGCTGATAAGAGCGGTAATTAATTGAGCTGAAACAGTGTTACTCGTCAGTTGCTCAGTCACATTTTTATGAATTTTTACAAGGCATGGATGTGACGATGCGATACGTGCGTCAAACATCTTTCTAAATTCGTAATGAGAATCATTTATAAATCTGCTGTTGACAACAAAAAGAAGCACTGAGGTTTTCCTGCGGGTTTCCGCCAAAATAAAAGCTGAGAAAAAGCAAGACAATAATAGCTGTATTAATACATTTATTATAACATTCACACATAGTGTTCAAATTGGGATCGGTAATATTTTCTTTTAAAAGAAGTGTCTTCTGCTCAGCAAGGCTGCATTTATTTGTACAATAAAAAAATACAGAAACAGTAATATTGTGAAATATTATTACAATTTTAAATAACTGTTTTCTATGTGAATATGTGTTAAACTGTAATGTATTTCTGTGATGCGCAGCTGTATTTTCAGCATCATTACTCCAGTCTTCAGTGTCACATGATCTTCAGAAATCATTCTAATATGCTGATTTGCTGCTCAAAGTGTCCCGTTTTTAGCCAATCACATGCCTGATTCAAGAAGGGGGTCTCAGAAATGGACAAAAAAAATTCATTCAACTAAGTTAAATTGTGCTGTGTTGGTTTAATGTCTGCTAGAATGTAAAAAAAATGTTAAATAAATACTTTTTAAAATTGTTGTTTTGTAATAGATTTTTTCTTTAAAAGCTAGACAAAACAGTAAAAAGCACATTTTGGCTATTTAATTTATGCAAATGGTGAAAAGAATTGGCAAAATACATAGGGGGGAAAAACGCGAAAAACTGTGTTCGGTATTCAGCCTTCAGCCTAGTTATTCATTTTGTTCGGTTTCGGGAACCACCCCGGGTACCATAGCAACCGCATAGCAACACCCTAGCAACTGCCGTAAGTACCCTATACACCGCATGGCAACACCCAAGCAACCACACCGGGTACCCTAGCAACCGCATAGCAACCACCCTAGGTACCCTAGCAACTGCCATAGCAACCGCATGGCAACACCTTAGCAACCACCCCGGGTACACTAGCAACCGCATAGCAACACCCTAGCAACCACCCAGAGTACCTTAGCAACCGCATAGCAACACCTTAGCAACCACCCCGGGAACCCTAGCAACCGCATAGCAACACCTTAGCAACCATCCCGGGTACCTTAGCAACCGCATAGCAACACCTTAGCAACCACCCCAAGTACCCTAGCAACTGCATAGCAACAACGTAGCAACCACCCGGAGAATTTTCATTTTGGTGCATCCCTCATTCCTACATGATCTACAGGTGGATCAAACACAGATCTCAGAGATTCCAGCTCTTATCCAGATCTCAGTCTGGTGTCGCACCCCAAAATGAGCAAATGATGCCCTTCGTGCCTGTGTTTACTGTAACCTCCTCATCTCCGCTGCCTCTCTAATTAAAGTGAACAAATAATTAGCTTAGCTGGCGAGCGGTGCTGCAAACACTCGGCTGTGTAACGTGTAATTGATGGTTAGGTGAACGCGTGTGCAGTGATCATGTAGGTACATAATTACACGGTGCAACTTCACCATTCCAGCGCCAGACGTGTTTGTTGCTCCTGTTTACCTCTGATCATTTCTGTGGTTTGGAGGAGATGACTGCTTTATTTATATCAGCATAATGAATGCCGCCCGCTGAAAGCGATATGCAGGAAGTGGGTGGGTGCTGCTGTGTCAATATCATTTCATCTAAACTCCCTCGTAAGCGGGCCGCTAATGTGAACAGATGCGAGAAAGAGTTTTTAATCGCTGATGAGGACTGTTGTGGCGTTTGCACTCAGATTGTTGAAGTACAGCAGCATTTGTCCTCTAGCTCAATGGATGCTGGTCTTTTGGTTTTTCATGAAACACTACCTAAACCATGAGTGAGTTTGTCGTAATGCACTCCTCCGGTGGAACGGCTTCAGTCACATTCACTGCTTCCAGAGTGTTGTTTTCTCTGTTGTTTCCAGACAGGTTTCCCAAACGCTCCTGCGATACTGTAACCGTGATCTGTTCAATTCTATCCAGCATTACACTGTAAAAATGCACATTACTGTTTCTCCTCTTCTCTAGCTCACTTCCTATTCCAGCTGTCTAATAAACCTGGCATTGTATGTTTTGATTATTGTTGGCTCTTTGACGAATTGCATTTGTTCCTCTTTTGTAAGTCGCTTGGGATAAATGCGTAAATGAGGGGCGGCGGCAGACCCTTTTAACTGATGTAAAATATTACTGATAACTCTGTCTAGTGGAGATGACTGGACACTGATCTGATCATATTCAGCAGTCGTGTGTGTTTACTATCAGCTGTTTGGAATCAGAACCAGTTTTGGGGGTAACTCATTACAAGTAACGCGAGTTACGTAATCAGATTACTTTTTTCAAGTAACTAGTAAAGTAACGCATTACTTTTTTAATTTACAAGAAAATATCTGAGTTACTTTTTCAAAAAAGTAATGCCAGTTACTTTGTTTTCCCATTTATTGACTGACA